CAATTCAATTTGCTAAGCAGAGAAGAATACAAATCTAAGACCTTCTCACTCATTATGCACAATCATCTCTTACCTTGTGGCACTGCCCATGCACCCACTGGGGCTCTTTAGGGCATTCATTGCCCAGTGACAATTTCTCCCTGTTCTGGTTCAATAACACATTTATCAGTAATCAGTAAGGTGTGCCCTTCTACTATTGCTTTCTAGTATTTCCTTTTCCTGGAAGCTGCCCTTATTAACCGTATTCCAGAAGTATTTGTGCTGAGACTGAAATGTTCTACACAGACTAACAGCACCTGCTGCAAATGGTTTTACAAAGTGCTGGGGAAAACTGAAACTCTGATGTCATCCATGGGAGCTGCAGATGTGTGTAAAATGAAAATTAAAACATTCATGTTTTCACTAAGAACACGTACCTTTCCTCAGGGTTTGGATGGGCTTGGAGAGGTTTCTACCAGCTGCAAATGGAAGCTGGAGCACTACTGAATTATTGGTGCGAATTGCAGGAAATGCCACAGCAAGGAAAGAGGGGAAAAAAAAATAAAGTGTGTTTGGATATACAAACACATTCTTACATATGCCATGGAGATAAACAACTGTGCACATGGGTGTAAGGTGCCCCAAGCCTCCCAATTAAGGAGAAATGGGAGCCAGCCTCCGCATGGGGACAATGGAGTTCAGAAAGGCATAAAAAGGAATGTAGTTTGGGTGCCAAATCAACCACAGGCTTGAATGTGCTGTTTCAAAGGGTTTGGTTTTATAGGGCAACTTCCTGGCAAATTTTCACAGGACAAGTCTCTGGCAGCCATGTGTGAGCCAACTATTAGCTGAACCAGAAGAAAACCCAGCTGGCCTGTGGCCACATGCACCACAACTCTAGAAGGGCTTATTCTCCCCTGCCCAAACCCTGTGAACCACAGTGCTGTGGGCATGAGTGAATTTCCCTGACAGCCAGAGTCATCTGCTGACTCATGACATGTGCGTGGCTCGAGAGCCTCACTGGAGGAGGAGTGATGCTGAGTCTCTCTGAGACCTTGATGAACTAGGACAGACAGATGAAACTTTAAGCTGCCCGCAGGTCTCACCTCCAAGCTGAGACCCTACAAAAGACCCTACAAACACACACACGGAAGCCCCAAGCATTTCAAGAGGCTATTGAGGTGTTTCAGCCTGGACAGGTGGGTGCTGGTGCCCTCCCACTCAGTGCAGCACCCAGAGGCACTGCAGCCCTGCACACTGCACCACAACTCACCCAGCACAACTCTGGGACTAGGAGGGGTTACAGCCCTCACTTGAGAGTGGACTGCAAGGACCATTGGCAACTGAGGGGAATGCAAGGACCAGTGTTAGCAGTGGGGTCTGAGAGGAGGAGTAGTTACAGGAGGTGGAACTGTGAAGTCCACTTGGTGGGGGTGGACCTGAAGTCACCTAGGAAGACTATAAGAACCAACTAACAAAGGACATGACAATATCAAGGAGGCAGCAGCTGTGACCTCTGCTGCAGGAGGTAAGGAAGCAGAGGGGAAAAAAACCCATGAGGGCAAGCACATTTGATAGAGAAAAGGAAGAGCCAAAGCAAAACTTCTGGTCCACTCCAACAGTGGGAGAGATGTGGGGGAAAATCTGTGGGCGACAAACACCTCTGAGAAAAGTCAGGTGCTGCGACTGCCCTACATGCTACTCAGCCACCAGTGACAGCTCATGCACAAGGCAGAGACCTGCTAATGGTCTATCAGCTGCTCAGCAGGAAGTGACCAACAGTCACCCTTATAGGGGAGGACAAATGGCCACCTCATAACACTGCAAGGACAAAAGCCCCCTGCCCCTTTCCCCCACTTCCCTCATTTCACCCATGGCTGTGCTTTGCCATCCCACCAGCCAAGCAGCCTCCTCTGGTGGCCCTACCGGCGTGGATGCAGCCATCGTGGTGGCATGGCTGGACATTCCCTGGGGGGTGCCGAGGTGAGCTGCTGGGGAAGTTGGTGTCATTTCTGGGCCTGCCAGGCCACCACAGCATGCCAACTTCTCTGAGGGACAGCTCCACAGAAGGGAAGGGGTTCAGTGTCCTTGTCTCTCCAAGGCTGACTCAGTGTCTTTGGGTGCTGGAAGTCAGCCCACAGCAACCCCATATGGGCCTTCCCCATGTTCCCACCACAGCTTAGAACATCTGAGACGGAGACATGGAGCATACTTGAACCGATTTGTGTTTGGAGGGGTCTCATGTTATCCTGTCACATGGCAGATGGGACACCTAAGCCCTGCTGGTATTTGGAGGTTATCAGTGCAACCCCTTAAACTTCCCCTTGGCTGTGGATTCAGTTCTGCCTTTGCCCCCCAGCATGAGCACTCCCAAGAAAGGGGAAGAGAAACTGCAGGGTGAGGAGAGATACCACAAGACAGCCAAGGAGGAGCAGTGAATAAGGGACATTGTGTTGGTGAGGCCAGCTCTAGGCACCCCATTGTCCTTTGCGTGCTGCCCAGTGGTGACAGTGGAGACAGAGCAGGGAGATGATCCCCACCATTCCTGCTCCCATGCTTAGGGGGCACTTGAGGAGGGGGACAGGGTTCCCCACTGAAGTGGGTGGGAAGGAAAGGGGAGTGCCAGGCTGCAGCCCAGCCCCAGGCACTCTCTTGGAAGTGTGTTTGGGAGAGTTTGGGCTCCCAAGCACTGTGGAGTGCAGCGAAGGGGAGAGGCAGCTCCCAGGCCCCGTGGCTTGCATAGAGCTCCATGGAAATGGGGAGGCTGCTCATCCACAGCAGGCCCCTGGAATGGGCTTTGGGGTGGGGGGACCATGGTCCCATCCATGTCCCAGCTTGAGGATCCTGCCCGGCCAAGTGCCACCACTCCAATTGTCCATTGTCTGTCCAGTGGGAAACAGCCCCTTCCAGGCCCCACAGCCCATCTCTGCCCTTGACGTCCATCACACTACAGCTCCTCCAGCCCACCGACTGCCTGTGCCCCAAGAGGAACTCCTGAAGCAGATGCCTCCTCCAGCCCTGCCTGCACCATCCCTGATTTCGTGGCCACAGGCTGGGCTGGAGTTGCTCATCACCACCTCCCTGGGAAGCCCCTTCCCCAGCATCAGGACAGTGGTGCTGAGGGGTCAGGGGATATTACCAGCTCTCCCCATTCTCATCCCCCAGAGCCATTCATGGCCACGGTCTTTGTCCACACCCCTGGCCCACCTCTGCTCCTGTTGGTTTGACACAGCACCAGCTTCTACCAGCAGCTCATCAGCATGGCCAGGCCATGGAGATCTGGGAGGTAACAAAGAGGCATGGGGGCAGTGCACAGCCTGGGGGCATGGGGAGCACAGGCCTGCAGCTGGGCTCTGGGAACAGGCTTTGCCTTCCCTGGAGGAAATACAGCCACATCAGGGCCAATCTCCCAGTTAAGTAGAAGAGCAGAGCAGAGCGGTAAATCTGTGCCATGCAGGGAAAGGCGTGCTGGGCATGAGCGGCACCGAGGGACACTCCTGTCAGGGACAGTGGCTGAAGCCCATGGCCAGATGGCACCTCCACCTGCAACGGGGGTAGAAAAGAGGGATCAGGTCACCCACACTGCCCTGATTGTCAAGGTGCTGCTGCAGACACGAGGGACCCCTTCCTGCAGTCAGCGGGATGGCCTCACTGCCACACAGATGCCAATAGAACTCAAGCCGTAGACCAGCCCACCCCAAGCAGGAACCTCAGGGCCCTCCCCAAAACCTCATTGCCAGGCCCCTTGGCTGCCAGGACCACTAGCATCAGCAGAGCTGCCCAGGCGGAGCCATCCTGAGGAGAAGTGTGCAGCCACATCTCTCACAGTCCCTTTCTCCTGCCACTGCTCCCAGTACTGCATGCTCAGGGCCTCGCTGCTGGCTCCATGCAACCCTGTTGCTGCTGCCTCTTCCTTCTCTGCGTCTTCCACTTCCCGGGGACATGGGCAGACCTGGAGGGTAAGTGGGAGGTCTGGCTTATTCACACCTGCTTCTATGCCCCTTTGGGACCCCATGCACAACGGGCTTCATGCTCCTGGCCTGCCTTGGTCTGTTTGCTCCTCACCCCTTCCGGCTCCACTCCTCTCCTGCAGCAATGGGGCCCCATGCACAACGGGCTTCATGCTCCTGGCCTGCCTTGGTCTGTTTGCTCCTCACCCCTTCCGGCTCCACTCCTCTCCTGCAGCAATGCACCCACCACAGGTGCATGCAGTGAGTGGGATCTGGAGCTGCCAAGGATCCAGGGGGTTTATGCAGGGCCTGCAGGTTCCTGCATCCCTGATGACCCATCACTTAGCCCCCCACACTTTTCCCAGCCGTCTACTCCCACTCCAATTAACCCTGATGCTCCTTTCTTACGTAGGGTCCTTCACTGTGCGGCTGCTCCAGACTTCCTTTTTCCAAAATGCATCCTTTGTGGATACAGAGGGGCTGGGACTGCTGCAAGACATAGAGCTTGGTTCTCTTGATAAGCGCACCTGGTCCATACGCTTCCACCAGCCCTGGGTGCACCCAGCCCTGCTCCGCAGTGACTGGGACACCATTCAGAACATGATCAGGATATATTTGAAAAAGTTCATTCACCTTATCAGAGAAGGTGCAGCTGAGAGGAATGTGCCCTGTGAGTATCCAGTCTTCTCTGCACCCCTTCTCTGAACTGCACCTGGGAAATGGGATGGGTCTGGCAGTGCTCAAGCTGCACGGGAGATACTGGACACATCCAGTGGAATGCAGTTCCCAGCCCCTCATGCAAGCTCTCTCTTCTGTCTGCCCCTCCAGACCCTTTTGTGACACAGTGCATGGCGGGCTGTGAGGTTTACCCCAACAGGACCTCCCAAGCCTTCGCCTATGTGGCCTACAATGGCCAGGACTTCCTCAGCCTGGACAGAAACAATGACACCTGGGTCGTCTACCAAGACAACAACTTCACACGGTACGTCCAGGCTGTCCTCCAGAACTATACCGCCTTCAGTGAGCTGGTGGAAGTCCTCTTCAACGAGACCTGCGTTGACGACATGGAAGTCTTAGTGCACTATGGGAAGGCAGCTCTGGAGAGACAAGGTGAGACCATCCTGACCTCAGCATGGCCACCACAAAGTCTCACACACTCTGGGAACAAGCGTTGTCCCACCGAGGCTCCCCCAAACCCTTTGCTCTTGCCCTCCAGAGACTCCCCTGGCCACAGTCTTCGCCCGCACGCCCAACCCAGCCCAGCTCCTGCTGGTTTGCCGTGTCACCGGCTTCTACCCACGGTCCATCAGTGTGGCATGGCTGCGGGATGGCAAGGAGGTGCCACCAGGCCCGGCTCTCAACACCACTGCCATCCTGCCCAATGCTGACCTCACCTACCAGCTCCGCAGCGTCCTGGCTGTGTTTCCCCACGACGGGCACAGCTACGCCTGCCGTGTGCGTCACCGCAGCCTGGGCACCCGCAGCCTCCTCATCCCGTGGGGTAGGTAACACCCATGGGGACAGGGATGGGGGTCCTGACCCGCTCTGTTCCATGGGATGGAACAAAGCATGGAAAGCTCATGGCAGTGTCTGCTTGTGTTTCCCAGGGAATGCAGAGATTGTCCTGATTGCAGGGCTCGGGGCTGGGCTGCTGGCAGCCTTGGCGGTGGCAGCTGTCATAGCACATTGCATGTGGAGATGCAGGTAAAGCCCCTTTTTTGCCCCACAGAGCAGCACTAGGAGAGGACTGGAGAAAATGCCACAGTAGACTGCTGTACTTAGCACTGGAGCTCCTGCTGCGGCTCTACTAGCCATTGTCTACAGCCCAGAAGGTCTCTTCCACAGAGTAGCCATGAGTCTTCTCCCTCTCATTTCAGAAAACACCAGCAGATGGAGGTATCAGAGTCCAGGAACTCCATCCTGAGCAAAGAAGCTTAGCCCTGAAGGGAGCCAGCAGCCCCTGCCTCCTTCCACCACACTCCCACGGACAAAAACTCTACTTTCTAGTGCTTTGACAACTTTGGGGGCACTTCCAAGTGTAAGATCAACTTGGCTCAAAGGCACAGGGGGAAGGCCTGGGCGGACTTCTTACCCAATTCAATTTGCTAAGCAGAGAAGAATACGAATCTAAGACCTTCTCACTCATTATGCACAATCATCTCTTACCTTGTGGCACTGCCCATGCACCCACTGGGGCTCTTTAGGGCATTCATTGCCCAGTGACAATTTCTCCCTGTTCTGGTTCAATAACACATTTATCAGTAATCAGTAAGGTGTGCCCTTCTACTATTGCTTTCTAGTATTTCCTTTTCCTGGAAGCTGCCCTTATTAACCGTATTCCAGAAGTATTTGTGCTGAGACTGAAATGTTCTACACAGACTAACAGCACCTGCTGCAAATGGTTTTACAAAGTGCTGGGGAAAACTGAAACTCTGATGTCATCCATGGGAGCTGCAGATGTGTGTAAAATGAAAATTAAAACATTCATGTTTTCACTAAGAACACGTACCTTTCCTCAGGGTTTGGATGGGCTTGGAGAGGTTTCTACCAGCTGCAAATGGAAGCTGGAGCACTACTGAATTATTGGTGCGAATTGCAGGAAATGCCACAGCAAGGAAAGAGGGGAAAAAAAAATAAAGTGTGTTTGGATATACAAACACATTCTTACATATGCCATGGAGATAAACAACTGTGCACATGGGTGTAAGGTGCCCCAAGCCTCCCAATTAAGGAGAAATGGGAGCCAGCCTCCGCATGGGGACAATGGAGTTCAGAAAGGCATAAAAAGGAATGTAGTTTGGGTGCCAAATCAACCACAGGCTTGAATGTGCTGTTTCAAAGGGTTTGGTTTTATAGGGCAACTTCCTGGCAAATTTTCACAGGACAAGTCTCTGGCAGCCATGTGTGAGCCAACTATTAGCTGAACCAGAAGAAAACCCAGCTGGCCTGTGGCCACATGCACCACAACTCTAGAAGGGCTTATTCTCCCCTGCCCAAACCCTGTGAACCACAGTGCTGTGGGCATGAGTGAATTTCCCTGACAGCCAGAGTCATCTGCTGACTCATGACATGTGCGTGGCTCGAGAGCCTCACTGGAGGAGGAGTGATGCTGAGTCTCTCTGAGACCTTGATGAACTAGGACAGACAGATGAAACTTTAAGCTGCCCGCAGGTCTCACCTCCAAGCTGAGACCCTACAAAAGACCCTACAAACACACACACGGAAGCCCCAAGCATTTCAAGAGGCTATTGAGGTGTTTCAGCCTGGACAGGTGGGTGCTGGTGCCCTCCCACTCAGTGCAGCACCCAGAGGCACTGCAGCCCTGCACACTGCACCACAACTCACCCAGCACAACTCTGGGACTAGGAGGGGTTACAGCCCTCACTTGAGAGTGGACTGCAAGGACCATTGGCAACTGAGGGGAATGCAAGGACCAGTGTTAGCAGTGGGGTCTGAGAGGAGGAGTAGTTACAGGAGGTGGAACTGTGAAGTCCACTTGGTGGGGGTGGACCTGAAGTCACCTAGGAAGACTATAAGAACCAACTAACAAAGGACATGACAATATCAAGGAGGCAGCAGCTGTGACCTCTGCTGCAGGAGGTAAGGAAGCAGAGGGGAAAAAAACCCATGAGGGCAAGCACATTTGATAGAGAAAAGGAAGAGCCAAAGCAAAACTTCTGGTCCACTCCAACAGTGGGAGAGATGTGGGGGAAAATCTGTGGGCGACAAACACCTCTGAGAAAAGTCAGGTGCTGCGACTGCCCTACATGCTACTCAGCCACCAGTGACAGCTCATGCACAAGGCAGAGACCTGCTAATGGTCTATCAGCTGCTCAGCAGGAAGTGACCAACAGTCACCCTTATAGGGGAGGACAAATGGCCACCTCATAACACTGCAAGGACAAAAGCCCCCTGCCCCTTTCCCCCACTTCCCTCATTTCACCCATGGCTGTGCTTTGCCATCCCACCAGCCAAGCAGCCTCCTCTGGTGGCCCTACCGGCGTGGATGCAGCCATCGTGGTGGCATGGCTGGACATTCCCTGGGGGGTGCCGAGGTGAGCTGCTGGGGAAGTTGGTGTCATTTCTGGGCCTGCCAGGCCACCACAGCATGCCAACTTCTCTGAGGGACAGCTCCACAGAAGGGAAGGGGTTCAGTGTCCTTGTCTCTCCAAGGCTGACTCAGTGTCTTTGGGTGCTGGAAGTCAGCCCACAGCAACCCCATATGGGCCTTCCCCATGTTCCCACCACAGCTTAGAACATCTGAGACGGAGACATGGAGCATACTTGAACCGATTTGTGTTTGGAGGGGTCTCATGTTATCCTGTCACATGGCAGATGGGACACCTAAGCCCTGCTGGTATTTGGAGGTTATCAGTGCAACCCCTTAAACTTCCCCTTGGCTGTGGATTCAGTTCTGCCTTTGCCCCCCAGCATGAGCACTCCCAAGAAAGGGGAAGAGAAACTGCAGGGTGAGGAGAGATACCACAAGACAGCCAAGGAGGAGCAGTGAATAAGGGACATTGTGTTGGTGAGGCCAGCTCTAGGCACCCCATTGTCCTTTGCGTGCTGCCCAGTGGTGACAGTGGAGACAGAGCAGGGAGATGATCCCCACCATTCCTGCTCCCATGCTTAGGGGGCACTTGAGGAGGGGGACAGGGTTCCCCACTGAAGTGGGTGGGAAGGAAAGGGGAGTGCCAGGCTGCAGCCCAGCCCCAGGCACTCTCTTGGAAGTGTGTTTGGGAGAGTTTGGGCTCCCAAGCACTGTGGGGTGCAGCGAAGGGGAGAGGCAGCTCCCAGGCCCCGTGGCTTGCATAGAGCTCCATGGAAATGGGGAGGCTGCTCATCCACAGCAGGCCCCTGGAATGGGCTTTGGGGTGGGGGGACCATGGTCCCATCCATGTCCCAGCTTGAGGATCCTGCCCGGCCAAGTGCCACCACTCCAATTGTCCATTGTCTGTCCAGTGGGAAACAGCCCCTTCCAGGCCCCACAGCCCATCTCTGCCCTTGACGTCCATCACACTACAGCTCCTCCAGCCCACCGACTGCCTGTGCCCCAAGAGGAACTCCTGAAGCAGATGCCTCCTCCAGCCCTGCCTGCACCATCCCTGATTTCGTGGCCACAGGCTGGGCTGGAGTTGCTCATCACCACCTCCCTGGGAAGCCCCTTCCCCAGCATCAGGACAGTGGTGCTGAGGGGTCAGGGGATATTACCAGCTCTCCCCATTCTCATCCCCCAGAGCCATTCATGGCCACGGTCTTTGTCCACACCCCTGGCCCACCTCTGCTCCTGTTGGTTTGACACAGCACCAGCTTCTACCAGCAGCTCATCAGCATGGCCAGGCCATGGAGATCTGGGAGGTAACAAAGAGGCATGGGGGCAGTGCACAGCCTGGGGGCATGGGGAGCACAGGCCTGCAGCTGGGCTCTGGGAACAGGCTTTGCCTTCCCTGGAGGAAATACAGCCACATCAGGGCCAATCTCCCAGTTAAGTAGAAGAGCAGAGCAGAGCGGTAAATCTGTGCCATGCAGGGAAAGGCGTGCTGGGCATGAGCGGCACCGAGGGACACTCCTGTCAGGGACAGTGGCTGAAGCCCATGGCCAGATGGCACCTCCACCTGCAACGGGGGTAGAAAAGAGGGATCAGGTCACCCACACTGCCCTGATTGTCAAGGTGCTGCCGCAGACACGAGGGACCCCTTCCTGCAGTCAGCGGGATGGCCTCACTGCCACACAGATGCCAACAGAACTCAAGCCGTAGACCAGCCCACCCCAAGCAGGAACCTCGGGGCCCTCCCCAAAACCTCATTGCCAGGCCCCTTGGCTGCCAGGACCACTAGCATCAGCAGAGCTGCCCAGGCGGAGCCATCCTGAGGAGAAGTGTGCAGCCACATCTCTCACAGTCCCTTTCTCCTGCCACTGCTCCCAGTACTGCATGCTCAGGGCCTCGCTGCTGGCTCCATGCAACCCTGTTGCTGCTGCCTTTTCCTACTCCTCCTTCTCCTCTGCTTTTTCCTTAGGAATTTCCGCCGGGTCCAGCACTCAAGCTGAGCACCAAGCTGTCTAATGTTGACCCAAAGCATCTGTTCTCCACTGACAGGACCGTGGCTGTCTTTCTCCACTCACAGCTGAAACCCAAAACCATCATCAGCTGCATGAGAGCCCATGCACCCTGCAGGAACAGGGATAGGAGTGACGCACCATTGGTGTGGAGGACGAGTCAGAGAGGACACAAACTGGCTCCTTGAGCATCCGTTTTCTCCTCCTGCCTTTTCCCATGCCTCCCTTTCTCTGCCCTCTCCTCCTGCCGGGGGTGTCCCCAGCCTCTCACAATACTTGGTGCTCAAGACCTTACTTCAGCTTTCCTCCACCCCACGTGACCCCAGCGCCCACCAGTAGGAGGCTCCCAGCTCAGGACCTCTGGGCTCCTCTTGACGAATCTGCATCAGTCCCATTGGTGGGGAGCCGCCGCTGTGGGTGTTGGGCTGAGTGCAAGCGTGGGATGCTGCAAGTTCTTCCTCCTCCCACAGTCATTGTTTGTGCTGCTTCAGCCTTGCTGCCTGCACCATGCAGTCCTGTCATCTCTTCCTCTTTCTTCTGCTTCTGCCTGGGATGTGGGCAGACCCACAGGGTAAGTGAGCGCCCCGGCTCACCCGAACCACTCTCATCCCCCTGTCAGTGGATCCCACACAGCCAGGCCACCAGGCCACTGTCCCCTGCATAGCCCAGATGATCCCCAGCACCAAAGTCATACCCCCCCCCCCCTCCCCACTGCACAGCACCCAACCGTGCCCTGTTCCAGCCAGCCCTCTCTATTCTTGCCTCCAGTTCAGGGCTTCATGCCACACTGGCTCCAGTACAGAGGCTCGGATACTCAAGCAGAAGTGAGGCCAGGGGTCCCCAGTCAGGCCTGGGTGTTGGGGTTCTCCCAGAAGTGCCTTCCTCCTTCAGGGAGTCTGTGGGTGCCAAGGGTGTCTCAGCCCTACATGGTGCTGTGGGCCTCTTCCAGCAGCCCTTTGTTTGTTGGGGAGCTGCACATTCATAAGGGTGTTTCAGGTGCTGCTGTTGCACACAGCATTTCACCACAGCCCTGTGAGAGCTCATGTTTCCGACGGTGAGCAGCAGTAGGCATGAGAATGCAGGACTGATCTCTGGGCTGGGCTACTCTCCTGCACTGTCAGTGTTCTGTGTCCTTAAGCTATCGATGCTGAGAGCCCCCAGACTTGTGCAAAATGCCCTTTTCCCTTCTCCATCCTCCACATCCTCTGTGCTGTGTGCAGGTGTCTGGCAGATAAGGGTCCTGGCATGGGTGCTTCTTCTGTGGGGAGTATCACTCCAAATAAGCACTGATGTACCCCCACCATCTGCTCTGCACAGCCAGACAGTAGGTGCTGGGCAGGAGGGAGGAGGGGACGGATGAGGATGAGGTGCCTGAAATCATGTATGGGAGAGATACACCTCACTGAATGTAAAATAGGGAAGGAAAA